TTGTTGTGAAAAATGGAGTCCGACAGTACAAAAATCGAACCAGAAAACACCCTGGAAGGCGGAGCGTGGGCCTCACGCGCCACCTGATGCCATGGGAGGCTTCTACGCTCCTCCACGCACTCTCACACGCCTTCGTGCGCTCTCACGCGCCCTCACGCGCCTTCACGCGCGCATCAGCGGCGCTGTCCACGCGCATGCCCTCCGCGTCACACACGCGCGCCGCGTGCCGAGCCGTGCACCGAGCCGCGCCGTTTTTCTTCCGCCGGCTTGGCTGCTGAAGTTAAGGGTCTGTTTGTTTTGTTTTTAAATTCTGAATCGCGTTAAATGGTCATAATTAATTCGTTATAGCTTTGTTTTAAGCGTGGTTAGTACCGTTAGACTCAAAATTATATTTTCTATCTTTTGTAAAATTTTGAAAATTTTATGAAAATAAAAAGTATTTTTCCTGTGATTATAATTCATTATTTGTGCTTTAAAATGCTTCTGGTATTGCATAAATTATTTTCTGGGGTTGAATTTTTTATTGTAGACTTTTGAAATGTTTTTATTATTTACTGGAATAATTTTTTCAGTTTATCAGATTCTAAAATTTTTTATTTCTAATTTAATGTGTGTTTATTAGTTATTTAGAATTCCAGAAAATTTTACGAAAATTTCAGAAGTGATATAGTTTTTGTTATGGCATAATTTGAATATCAAATACAACATATTATTTTTTTTAGGGTTTGTAATATGTTGTGATTAGAATAGCATGATTAATTATTTTTTATTTTAATTCCGTTATTAAATGTAACATAGCATGAGTTGATTGTGAATCTACATTATGATGCTATTGTATGGAATTAGAATATTTTATCATGCTTTTAGACATGCCATAGTTAGTGGGAGGTTATTCGATTGAGAGAAATCTTTGTAGATTAACTCCCGAAAATCAATATTTTGCGCATAAATTAAATTAAATTTTGGATAATTGTCACTTGTGGCGCAAGAGATGATTACGAGCATAGCGGATTTTCGATCTTGCGACTTCTGTAATCTTGTCACTATTTAATTTAGATTTTTGTGACAAAATTATATTATGCTAATCAAATTAATCCCAATGCGAATTTCTCTCTAAATTGACTTAGCTTATGAAAGTTAATTAGTTGACCTAGACTTAGTAAAGATGTTCAAATGTGAACAATGTAATCCCATTCTGTAGATGAGAAAAAGTCTTGGAGACTTTAGGTCAAGTCTTAATTGAGCCAAAGTAAGGAAATATGACTCAAAGTCGCCGTGGTTTTGTTGCCTTTTTGGCATAATAAAAACTAATGTGTGCGCTATGGTTAGCGGCACGCTGCGTAGTTTTGGTTGGCGAGTTTTGGAGTTATGAAATTAGTAAGTCCTCAATAGATCTGCATATGATCTTGACTATTGAGCTACGCGGATTGACTTTGTAATTTGACTTGTAAATAATGTTACATCATTGGATGAAGTAATATTCAAGAGTCACGTCATCCAAGAAATACGAGCTTAAATAAATTAGTCATTAAGTGTAAGACGAGTAACTAGTATGAGCAGTGTTTTGCTTTTTACCCAATTATTGGGAGTGGATGGAGCAAAATTTCATGCACTATAATAGTGTGCGTTGAAATATCACATGAAGTGAAAAGATTAGCATTTAGTGGCTGCAAAATCTATTAACACTAAGTGAAAAGATTAGCGCTTAGAAGCTGCAAAATCTATTAACATTATGTGAAAAAATTAGCACTTAGAAGCTGCAAAATCTATTAGCATTGCCAACTTGTCTAAGTCTGGACACTTACTGTTTCCACACTTGAGTGTGAGACGTGAGGAGGGGCTTCTTTGTATGATTCCTGAGCTAGGCTAACGTTTTTGAATGACGTTTACCACTAAGCGCAAACGTTGCAGCATCATAATGAAAAGGTCAAGGCTGACAAGGTTGTTATGACTCTAACAATTTGACGCATGGCTCGTGAGAGTATTGTGTTGAATTAGACTCTTTAGCCTAATTCGCGCTTAAGTTGCTTCAGGAGCTGTCATAGTTGATAGCTTATTCTCTTCTTCTTGTGGATAGTAGAATTAATTGCAAGTAACTATGAAGCGAGAAATAGATATGGCAATAGGAGTATCGTCATCTTTCAACTAGATGCAGTAAAGTGTATGGAGAATAAAATTGACTTGAAGGTGCAGGGGATTAGCACTTACTAGTTAAATTTGCGACTTAGGCATACTTGATATCTCCATGACATCCTTTTATGATCTAGTGAATATGAATTAGTTGTGAGTCATTACCTAGTTGGACCTAAACCTTTAAAACTTGTCTTTGAGAACTCATACATTAAGATGATTGGAATTAGTTTATGACATTGGTTATGAACCAGTGGCTTATTATACTTAATCACATTAATGAGATGATGACACGATGGTTTGAGTAGGCCTTCTCGGGCCCACTTGCTTATGACATCCTGCTCTCATGTGAATGTGTAATTTTGTTCGCAATGGGTGCGCACAAGTAAGTAGGAAAGCCGTAGAAGGTCATTTGTTTTGGCGCATTTAGTCCACTATGATATTTGTGACTAGATATGTGTAAGGGTATGTAAGGGTGCGCACAAGTAAGTAAGAATCGAGGTTCTATCAAATGAATGCAAGGAAATGCAATTTAATGCCTGCTAAATTACTGTTATGATTTTGGCACACCCCATGCAAATGAAATCAGTTATTTTACGTGGCAATTTCTTTGTTTCTTGATTTCAATTCTCTTTCGCACGGTATTAGGTCTCCAGAAAAGATATTCTATACGTTCTGCATTTGGTTCTCTCTGTGTGTACGTGTGTGTAGTGATTCCATTTTAAATAATATACTTCCACCTTCAAATGCCATGTGAGAAATGGAATATTTCCAATTCCCTGGAATGCTTTATACAGTCTGTTCAGAAATTGAGAGAGGGGTACTTATAATAATGGCAAACATGCTTCCTGGACAACTAGCATGTGGTCATATACAGTTATTATGACTGATAAAAACAAATATGAGAGATTTTTTGAGCAATGTATTGTTGGTGCAGTAGATTTCTTCTATGATGCTCCTAGTGTGTGATCGCTGCAATTTATGAAGTTTTTGTTGTCTAAGAGATAAATGGGTGTTGGCTTTTTGGCTTTTCGAAGGGTATTTTTGTGAATGTGAGGGATTCAAATTCCTTGTACCCATCTTTTCTTTTTTTGTTCAGTACATTGTTGTGCTGATTAAATTTAACTGAGGGCCAATCCAGTTTGAATGTCTTTTTGAAATGCACTTTTGGGTGGTTCTGATTCCTTGTATATTTTTAGTTTCCTTTCATGTATAGCTGTTGTCCTTTTGGTTATTAGCTCTCAAGTTATGTAGCTCTGGAACCTGATATGGAGGATTGACGTGATGTTTCTAACTAGGGGGGTCTGGTATGGATTCCCGGACCCCAGCTTTTTAAATTTGCAGAAACTTATACTTGGTAGTGGTGCATTATTTTTCTCTAATTTGTTTTAAAAACATGTTAAAAAAGTTCTCCAGTATAACTAAACTCATATTTTTAAGGAAACCCAGGTCATAAATTTAAATCTTAAATTTTTGTGGCAATATATTAGTGGACAACACTCAAAGACCACACTACCCTTCTATTTCAATGAATGGGAATCTAAAATGTTCCAGGCTTCCCCAGCCACCTAATAATCCTCTTGAATAATTCCTCCATGGCAGTCCACAGCGGTGAGTTTGTATTGACTATCAAAATCAACGGACACCCTGGGTTATGGATTGTCAAGGCATTTGAAGATTGTAATCCTTGATCTGTCAATGGTTTGATTGATCTTTTTGCTTCGATTGTTTTGAAAACTATACGTTACAAAGGAATGCTGACCCACAGCTGTGGTTTTGCTGCGAATGGGAGTGGTGTTGTGTGTTAATGATGGTAGAGAGGTGGACTAAATTTTAGGGGCCTTAAGTGAATTGTCAAAATGATATTAAAATTAATATTCAATTACAATTAAGAGGGTGTGTCCATCATTAAACTTGTATAAATATATTATCATTGAGGGTATAAAAAAATATGGGTAATGTTAGGGATATCAAATTTTTTGGGTTGGTTTGGGAAGTGGGTTGGCTTTTTTGGCTATTTTAGCTTTGACTAAAAAGTTTGGTTTGTGTAGGATTTTTTGGTTTTTTTGATTTTTTTTGTGAGAGAAGAGTGTAATGATTATGGGGTTAAATGTGAATGTGATATTTTGTTTTTTGTGATTAAAATAATCTATTTTGTTTTTTGTTGTTAAAATAGCCAAAAAAGTCTACTTTAGCTCTTTCCAAACGGTGCCATCAAATGGGTTTTGTAATTTTGTAAATTTCACATGTATGTGAGATATTAATCATTTATTTAGTAGAAAATTTGAAATATATAGTATTTTGTAAAAAATATTGGACCTTCTCAAATAAGAGCCTTTGGCAGTTGTCTAAGCAAAGAGCCGCCCTTGAATGATGGAAATGCTGGTTGTGTGTGGCGGTATAATGGTATCATTGGTATGTGTTTATTTAATCGAAATGTCTTTTAACACAATCATATGTTAAAAAAAAAAAAAGAAAAAAAAAGAAAAAAGAAAAGAAAAAAGGGAAAGTTATGTTTAACTTATCTGTTTAAACAATTAAATCTAATATTTGCACACATACATTAAAAAAAAAATTATTTCAAAATTTCTTCCACGGTAAAGTCTTATTGTGAAAAGCAATAAAACACAATGTTGGACTTTACTGTGCATAATAAAGTATAAATTGTGTGAAATTTTTGTCTTTTAAATTTAATGACCGATACAATTTCGTTAAAAATTGTCAATTTAATTTCTACATTAAAATTTAACTTTGTGAAAATCATAAATTTTGTTCAATTATATTGCCTGACAAGTTTCTTAAAATAAAATTATACATAAACAATTAGATATAACTGTATAAAATTATCATTTTATGTTGAAAGAAGTTCGTTTAATCCCAAATCGAAGTTTAAAAAAAAACAAAAAATCACTCCCACGCACTGGCTTCGTACCCCGCGCTTCGGTTTTCGGCTTTAGAGATCGAGGCAGCCGAAGCTGTGAAACTCATCGCTCGACTGTTAAACCCTAGGCCAACCAAACCCCTTTCTCTCTTCAGTTCCCTCAAACCCTAGCCCAACCAAACCCCTCTCTCTGTCTCTCTAGTTGTGATAAAAGACAGAGATGGAGGAGTTTTTGTATACTGATATCGAATCTTTATGTGCAAAACTCAAGTATCAAGAAAAGCAGCTCAAACTCAAAAGAAGGTCAGTGCTTTTTTTAATTTTTTTTCCTCCAATTTTTATTTCTTCAAATTGTGTGATTACATGCTCTCGAAACCCAACTATATGTATGTATGTATGTTTGTGCTTGTATATATTTCTTTTAGTCAATCTAACTGCTTCTTGCCGTCAATTTATAGAATTATGCAGGAAATTCTCCTTTAATTTCTCCTTCATTTTGTACCAAACTAGTAATCTTCACCTCCTCCCTTCTTTCCCATGTCAATTCAGTTGTTCCCATTTTGCAGACGCTCTTTAGCTTTACCTTTTCTCTTTGAATTCAAAAAATTCTTTCATTCGGCTTGCAAAATACCATCGAACTCTCGTGTTTTTAGTTTATTTGGCTGTGTCAGACGAGTACGATATGATCATAAATTTGATTCTCTAAGTCAGTGTCAGACTCACCATCATCATCTTCTTCTTCTTCTGGTGTAAGAGCTTTAGCTGCTATCTGGTGAGTTAGAACATATATTTTCTTCCTTGTCTTCATAATAATAAATATGGCTTTGGATATAGATGAATGCTTAAAAACTTTGAAGTTTGGATCATTGTCATTGACCTTTTGTTGAAATCATGTTATGAACATTGTTCCTGTTTGATAGATTTCAATAGTTTTATATTCAATTTCCAAATTGTTTGGTTATAGGGCGTGTTACATCTTTTTTCTTATTGTCAACTAGTTAAGTCCTATTCAGAGTTTTGAAAGTTGTCTTTACTAGAGGCCGTTGTTGTAAGATGTTTTTCTTTACCTCCTGTAAGTGTAAACTTTCTAGTTTCCATTGGTTGCTTAATTCTACTTTTTATGATATTCAATGGGAAGGGAAAATTGTAGAATTAGATTGTATTTTTTTACACTTTTCCCTTCCCATTTGTTTTGTTGTCCACAAATCCATGATTCAAACACAGCATTAAGTTACTCCATGATTAAATCTACTTTCAAAGACATAAGTGGAATGATTATTCAGGATTTCTTTGAATTTATGGGTTACATCACATTTAAGGCTGAGATTTGCATTTTGCATTATCCCGTGTCTATGCATAACATTCCTTATGGAGTTCATTTCTCTATCGTCTTTGTCATGTGTAATTTTTTATGACAGTTCAGTAAGATAATCTGGTTTTGAGCTTATAGTGAAGGCTTATCAATTTGGTTTTATGCAGGTGGTTGATGGGACTACCTTTATCTGATTATGAACAAAAGCAATTAAACAGATTGAAGTTTCAAGAAAACAAGTAAGAAAGAAAATCTTTCATTTCTTACACCAAGTCAATTGCTGTAGACTCAAATAACATGAATTGAATTTAAGTTTGGTAAACTTCTCATTTAACATAGGAACTTTCTATATGAATCCAGGTTCTCAAACTCTAAACGACTATGTGTTTAGTTCTTTTTGGAAGGTGTTATGTTTTATCTGTCAATTTACATGTAACATATGTATAATTCCAGTTCTTCTTAGTATACAAGTAATCAGTTGATGGAGAATTAGTTGCTGGAAACTCTTGAGACCAACTGATTATAGGTTTTGGAATTTGAGGGAAAAGGTTGGGGAAATGGTTGGGTTATAAGACTAGGGTTTAATGCAGAATAAATAAAATAATTTAAGGACTACTTGTGATTGACAAGGACAATGATAGGGAGAATCTTTTGGGAATCCAACTTACATTTTCTAAGACTATGTTTGTTTGGCTGGAACATAAATCTCTGGTGGAAAATTTTCTCTCTGAAATTTTTTAGAGAGGGAGAATCTACTAGAATTCCCACATACCATTTCTTAGGTCTTGTGTTGCTTTAGAAAATCAGATTGTAATGGATTTTTTTTTTTGTAAGAAATAATTAAAAGCAAATTTAATACCTTTCTTCATTTTCTAAGTGCTTGGGATTTGATTAGAGATGTTTTTGGAGGGTATCTTTCTCTCCTATTTGAACACGAAGTCCGAATTAAGAGACAGAGCCATTAGTACTGTTGCTAAAATCTCTCTCTCTCTCTCTCTCTCTTTGTGCTTCCCTTTAGGCTTTATTTCTGAATTACATAAAGCTTTAAAGGTCTGTATGTAATTCTGAAAACTTAACCCTATTCGATAAAAAAATTACCAAGATAATTATAAATTTTTGGCTTTCTTACTTTTGTTAGGATTAGGACTTCAAAATAGGCAATTTGAAACCTTTTGTTATAGAGAACCATCCTATGTCAAAGGGTCAATTTTTCAACTTAAATTTCGCCTAAGATGGCACTAAGTTTCAGCACACTTTGTCAGCCAATTAAACCAACACTCACACACACTATGAGATTTAAGACAAGTAAGATAGAATGCACAACACATCAACCATTACAGGTAAACCCAGCCTTTTTATTGCACCAACAATAATACAAAGGATGGCCAATGACACTCTACTACTTGACCATTTTCAAGTAACCATGGCATGCCCATAAATAGGCTACAATAAGAATTTGAAATTCAAACAGGCAACAAGATATAAGGGGAACACGCCACATGGCATGGCAATTGATACCCCCAACTGCCAAAGGGTTAAGACAAATCTAGAGCAGACTAGCAGTTGTAACTGCCACCAACAGCCCCTACAATTCAACCTTGTTTGCCCCTAGCCAACATGCCTTAGTTTTGCATAACTGCCAATAACTGCCATTGTCAGCATTCCTTGGCCTTGCATAACTGCTAGTGACCTCCCCAATAATTCTGCTGCCTTGTCTATGCCTTAGACAAATTCGAATTGCCCATGTGTTGGCCTTGGTCCAGACCATGCCAAGCCATTTGATTGTGTCCAACCCCCAAGTGTGCTGCAGCCAACATTTAGGTCATATTAATGCCTTGAATCTTCCATGCTGCTCATACTTGGCCAAGGGTTGAGTGCCACCGCCGAACGACACAACTCTTTGCTCACCTTGTCAACATTGGCATGCCTCCCTCATGCCTTGGTCCAAGTCTGACATAGGTGTAAGGTGCCACCAAATGTCAGGCCGCCAACTCTCAAATGTCAAGGTGCTAACACTAGGCTACTATACTCCACATTTGTAGGCTCAATAAAATCACTTGATTAAAAACAAGACCCGTAAACAACTATTAAAGCGCACACATAGTATACTCCACATATGTAGGCTCAATAAAATCACTTGATTAAAAATAAGACCCGTAAACAACTATTAAAGTACACACATAGTTGTAGAAGACTTTGAACTCGTAAAATGTAGGAAACTGGAAATGGATGAAAACATAAACCAGCATATTAACTTAGAATAAACATAAATAAAGTCTGGAATTCAATCCAGAATTCAGTTATTTAAGATCCCATTGGCCCAATAAGAAATTCTGTCCATGTTTATAGGCTCTGTTGTTTGCATCATGCTTGACTACAGTGCACAAAACTTAGCCTCAACTTTTGCTGTGTTGTAGCATAATATACCACAAGCAAAGAAGCTGCAAGCTGCAATTTTGTTGGCATGATGTCCAACATTGATTTGGCATGCGTATGACTTTACCTTTTGAAAGCAACAAGGCCAACCCCAAGAAGCCCGTTTTTTCTTGATACACCATTCATTGTCTCTGGAATAATCAAACTAATGGGTGAATAGCTTGAAAATAAAAAATTATGTCTCAGTCTTATTGAAATCTAAGAATTGAGTCATATTCTTAACCTTGATTTGCCTTAATTGGACTTTGTGTTGTGGTCATCTTGTTTCTCTGTGAAGAGTTGTCTTTGGTATTTTTTTGTGAGGGTGAAATTTGGAAAAATAGAGGTTGCCACAAGTTACAGTTGTGTTCAGGGTGATTGGACCTAAATTGAAAAAGCATGTGTGGTGTTAGTATGTTGAGGTATTAGGAAGGGGTAGGTGAGTTCTCAAAACATGTATGGAATCTTCTAAATTTGTGTAGTGCTCATGTTTGACACTTGACTTGAGTAAGGGTATGAGATATGTATCCGATTTTCCTAGTTGGAGATGCACCTAACAGGAATGTATAAGTTGTCAAGTTCACTATATAACTATCCGTAAGGATTTCATTTTATACATAAATGCTATATTTTAGTTTTTAAACATCATTTTACCCTTCAAAAATTAAATAAGTATTTAAGAAATATGAAATATAGCCTTATCTTTGTGTCCTTGACATAAGAATTAGTTTAATCTGACACTCACACACATACCTGCAACCTACACCCCTACCCAAATCCATGTAACATAGGTGTCCCCGGTACATGTATAGGTGGGGTTCCATGTTATGGATCACCATACCTTCTTTATATGGGATTGTGGTGGGTAGGTATGGCTCATGGAAGACTGAATGAGGTTAAGGGTGATGAGATAATATGGGATGTTGCTGATCAAAAAAAAAAGGAAGATAATATGGGATGTTCTATTCCGAAGTCATTGCATGCTGGGGGATTGATGTGGTTCGGTGTTAAAGAGTTTTTTGAGAGCTTGTGTAAGGTTGATCATTTGGGAAGACAGGTGGACTGTTTTAGATTGACTGCTTCAAAGTCTTCATGGTTCAATTTTGATTGATAATCAATACCGGGGCTTTGCGATATTTGATTTATCACAAACCTAAATGTTTGAGGTTAATTCCTATTACAAATGAGTGGATTTTGCGAGAATAGGACTGACCTAGATGCTTTCAAGAGTAGAAAGTTTGAGGTTAATTCCTATTGATTCTAGGAGGCACCAACACACAACATGATATGGACACATCAAGTTGGGGAATACGTAAGATATATAGTTTTACATATTTATTACATGGCATATATATATAAATATTGCTTTCAAAGTTAATAAAAAAAAATGTAACATAAGATTAATTACCAACGTCTGAAGGAGAAGGGGTTGATAAATAGAAATTTTCGTTGTTTTTCTTTTATAAGAGGATGTTAAGTTATTTTCTTCAAACTTGTATTGTGTTTTATGTGTGTATAAGCGATGGACATGCGTGTACCTCAAGTGGCTGGGTATAAAAATAATATTAGGACACATTTGGATGCATGTCCAACGTGGGCGACACGTGTTGGGAAGTGTCTAATGAGAGTGGCATGGGAAACAACAGAATTGGTGAGATCATTGTTGAGTGGCATGGTAGGTGTGATATCATTTATATTTCTGGTGTAACTTGGGTGTTTCCTAGATAGGTGGCAGAGTTTGAAGAGGCGTAAGATTAGTATGAGGAGAAGGAAATCTGGATGCCATCTTCTTTTGTTTGACATGGTGTATATGGAGAAAAAAAAAATTGACTTTCCTGTATAATATCGAGGAAGCATTTCATCATGTAATGATCTAGTGTTTGAACTTTTAATCTATCATCATTGTGTGATTTGAGAGATTCTGTCAGGACAGCTCATGGTATGTGGGCTTTATATGCAAATAGTATTAAGTCATTTTTTATGTCAAAAGTTGGCTGGAGTCCATGGAAATTTGAAGTATTCACTTTATGGTAATGAATACCATGAAATTGACAACTTTTGGAAGATTCAGTAGAGTTCTTGATTACATAAATATGTGAACTTTGTTTCTCTATGCCAGCATATGTGGCCACGTATTCTCTACCTGATGACCAAATGTTTTTTTTTAATCATTCTCAGCATTTGCTGAGATTGAATTCTAGACGTGGTAGTGCCTTTGGTGATAGTGGTGGTGTTAATATTAACGGATAGCAGTAACATCAACTTAGTTGTTCCTTGCATACTAAACAGGGTTTTCCTTTCATCCTCCATAGTGTCAGTGATAGCAATATATGTGCTTTCTTGATGACAGATGAAGTCCTTCCCTCTATAGTAGTAGTTATGAAAAGTGCTCTCTGCCTCCCCTTGTTGACCCAACCCTCACAAAAATTAAAAAATAAAGCTTTGCAAAGAAATGGGTGTTTTAGGAAGAATGAACACGTTTTCAAGTTCTAAAAAAGTTCTATCAAATGGCCTGAGAATCAACCCTTTTCTTCACAATACCACAGCCTCTTTGAATCAGTCCCAAACATGAATGGGTGAGTGAATGCTGATTTATTTGTGAGGGTCATTTTGCAAGGATCATCACTCTCTTTGGGCCATCAAATCACCAAGTTGACTTCTCAGCGATTCATGTTAATGCAATCAATATAACTTATGGTGAAAAGATCCATCAAAACTACCCTCTTGACAGAAATAGCAAGTGAAATAGTATTCCTTATCCGTCAGAGGAGTCAACATGAATAGTGTCAATTTGTCCTCAAGCTACTTCCTTCTCTTATTTATT